ACATGTCACCACTGAGCTACACCCCACAGCTTTTCCTTTTTTCAGAAGAAAAAGTTCATCACTGTGTGTGTGTGTGTGTGTGTGTGTGTGTGTGTGCCGCAGCACACATGTGGAGCTTGGAGAACAACATTATGGATGGAACTGGTTCTCTCTTTCCACCTTTATGAGGATTCCAAGGACTGAACTCAGGCCACCAGGGTTCCTGACAAAGGCCACCATGCCGGTCCCTTTTTATTACATTCATCATAGAATTGACATGGTAACATAGCAGGGATATGTAGGACAATTTGGTTTCATTTCACTGAGAAGAATCCTCTCAGAAGGTAGTTAGTTTCAGCTCTCTGAATAGTTAGTTACAGGCTAGACTACTGAGTAGTGATAGCTGATAGGGAATGAACTAATAAAGCTTTATGTGCTACGCAGTAGTCAAAGCCACTGACCCTGCTGAAAAAGTCAAAGATTAATACTGCCAAGCCTCAGCAGCTGAGGGCCTGCGACGCGGACTTTTTTTTTTTTTTTTTGGTTTTTCGAGACAGGGTTTCTCTGTGTAGCTTTGCGCCTTTCCTGGAACTCACTTGGTAGTCCAGGCTGGCCTCGAACTCACAGAGATCCGCCTGGCTCTGCCTCCCGAGTGCTGGGATTAAAGGCGTGCGCCGCCACTGCCCGGCACGACGCGGACTTTTGAGACAGGGTCTCACTATGCAGTTCTGGTTAGCCTGAAACTCAGATCCACCTGCATTGGCCTCCTGAGCACCACCACGCCCGGCGAAATGGATTCCTGACTCCAGGACACCAGTGAATTACCAAGGGAGCTGGGAAGAATTTTCATGCGTGAGTCCCACCTCTAGGGACCCGGTTAATTGGTTAATTGGCTGTCATAGGACACAGCACTAGGATTCCTAAAGGCCCCCTTAGGGGGTCCTAAATGTGCACCCAAGGTGCACAAATTCCGTTAAGAAAAACAAATTAAGAAGTTTTGAGTAATTTTTTAAAAAGTAACTTAAAAAAAAAAAAACTCCGGGGGCTGGAGAGATGGCTCAGAGGTTAAGAGCACTGGCTGCTCTTCCAGAGGTCCTGAGTTCAATTCCCAGCAACCACATGGTGGCTCACAACCATCTATAATGAGACTGGTGCCCTCTTCTGGTGTGTAGGGATACATGCAGACAGAACACTGTATACACAATAAATAAATAAATCTTAAAAAACAAAAAAACAAACAAACAAAAAAACTCCTCTCAGCCGGGCAATGGTGGCACACGCCTTTAATCCCAGCACTCAGGAGGCAGATACAGGCAGATCTCTGTGAGTTCGAGGCCAGCCTGGTCTACAGCTCGAGTTTCAGGATAGCCAGGGCTACACACACAGAGAAACCTTGTCTCCAAAAAAAAAAAAAAACCCAACAAACAAAAAAACCAAAATAGCTAAACATTATCCAACAATAGATGGCTTTGCTAATTATCTTAAATTCAGTTTGTGTATCTAGAATAGCTAATGTGTGTGACAAGATGTGTGCCACAGTGTCTGTGGAGGTCAGAGGTCAGCTCAGAGGTCACGGAGGTCGGATCTCTGCTTCCTATGCCTCCTGAGTGCTGGGTCTGTGTGCTTGTGCTACGATGCCCAGCGGTTAGGGTATATAGTTTATCAATGGTTTCTTTTTCAGTCAATTCCTGAATGTATATGATCCGCTTAAGATATTTTATTAATTTATTCAATTTTCTCTTTTGGGGGGAAAATCAGTTCTTTTGCCATTTTCCACAAGTCAAGGATTACAAAAAGTATTCATTTTACAAAATATGAAAGGCTTCCAAGAAACCTCCAAAAATATTCAGACCTTAAAGGAGTTCAAGAAAATGCCATAGCCAGCACTCGGGAGGCAGAGCCAGGCGGATCTCTGTGAGTTCAAGGCCGGCCTGGGCTACCAAGTGAGTTCCAGGACAGGCGCAAAGCTACACAGAGAAACCCTGTCTCGAAAAACAAACATAACAAAACAAAACAAAAAAAAAAAAAGAAAATGCCATAGCTGACCCCACTACGGCAAAATCGAACTAGCTTGAGTGGAACCTCAGAGGCCAAGCGCTCACATAGCAGATCTGCAGAAGGGCAGCGGCCCTCCAAGAGCAGCCATATTCCAGGCCAGGGGGACTAGCTTTCCTGGAGCAGGACTCAACGTGTTCTCACGCAAGGCGCATCATCTCCCTGATCCAATACTCTCTCTGCTTGTCTTCACCGAACCTGTACAGTTCCTGCCCAGGGTCTGCCCAGTACCTGCCAAAGCGGTTGACAAAGAGTCCAACAGAAAAAGAGCCAATCATGCCACCAACGGAGAAGATGGCCACACACAAGGACCAGAGGGTGGTCAGCAGCACCTCACTTGGCAGGTCTTCTAGCCTTTCTTCCAAAGTGTAGTTGAGAAAGTCCCTTATGATCTGCAGGATAAAATGCACAAGGGGGGACAGACCATTCCATCTGGATGGGAACAGTAGACAAGTACCAGGGTGGCTTCCTCCCTCAGGACAGGAGCATGAGGGAGCCAGCGAAGGCACAGGCTTTGAAAAAGACAATTCTGGGGCATCACCCGAAACATCCAGTAGGTGGCAGCACAAATGGTCAACGGTACAACCCACCCAGTCACAACTTCCCAGGGTCTTAGGAATCCCTAAGGAAGGATATAGGAAATGGATCACTACTTGGTGAGAGGGCAGGAGGCCACAGCATGAGGAGCAAGCAGCTTCCGGCTTAGGCTTCTTTAACAGTATTTGCCCTCCCCCATCTTAGCCAGGCATCTAAATTCACAATCTTACATAAAGAACGACTTTCCCATCCCTTTTCACTCAGGGTGATTGACACTCACTGTCTCAGGTGCATTGATGACTCCAGTGTTGTAGCCAAACTGGAACGAGCCGATTGTGGCGATTGTAATGGCGAACACCAGAGACGGGGTCACCTGTTGAGAAGACAAGGGGGAAGTGCTTACGAATGTTGACTAATAATATTCTTCCCCTTTCCAGGATGTCTGGTTGATGTCCATCTTATCCTCCTGCCTCTGCTTCCAGAATGCTAGGATTTCAGGCACATTTGGGGAGAAAGACCTTTAGAGGAACTTGAGTCAGTTCTTTTGGGCTGGTCTTCAGAGCCAGTACCAGGCTAGCCAGGGCTACACAGTGAGATCTGTCTCAAAAGGAGAGGCAGAGGAGGGTCTTGTGGGGAGGAGCGGGGGAGGAAAAAAGGAGGGAAGGGGGTCTTGGGGGGAGGAGGGAGGGAGGGGGAAGGGAGAGAGAGAGAGAGAGAGAAACTATTGCACCAGGCAGACCATGGTAGTGCACGTCTGTAATTCCAAAGCCATAGTCAGCCTGGACTATGTACAGAGCAAAACACTGTCTCAAAAATTAAAGACAAACAAGCAAAACTGCACCAGACAGGCAGGCATGGGACTGCAATAAGGAACTGAGTGCAGAGCATGCAGTGGCTGAGGCAGGAGGATAGCCACGAGTTCATGGCCAGCCTGGGCTACAGTGAGACCTGGACTTAAAACATAGCAACCCCCAAACTCCCCACAGTATAGAAGGAAAAGCTATGACAGCTCTAAGTTTCCTAAAAATTAGCCATTCCGCAGAGCTGGATTCAGTGTGTTCTTCCCGTCCGTCCGTCGTCTGTCTGTCCGTCCGTCCGTCCCCCAGACTGCAGAGGCCAGAGCAGCAGGTAGCAACAGCGTGGCCACAGGGATTCGAAAATCAAGAACAGAACCCCAGACAAGCTAATGGCACAGATTACTGTGTTCTCTCCTCTCACACACCCAATAACCCCCTTCTACTCTCACATCATCTTCCCTCACCCCCTTTATATTTTTGAGAAGGTTCCACAGTTTGTATTCCAAGCTAATCTCAAATTCAACTCCTCAATCCTCCAGCTTCAGTCTCTCAAGTGTGCGATTATAGTTGTGAGCTGCTATGCCCAGCCTTTTTTTTTTTTTTTTAAGTTCTACATATCTGAAAAACATGTTTTTCCTTCTGTACCTGGGTCTATTTCACATCCATCCCAGTTCCATCCAGCTTTCTAAAAAGTGTTATGACTTCACTTTTCTTTTCTTTTTTTTTTTTTTTGTGACAGGGTTTCTCTGTGTAGGCCTGGCTGTCCTAGAACTCAAGAGATCCACTGGCCTCTGCCTCCTGAGTGTATTGCCACCGCCAGGCTGGGTTCATTTTTCTTAACACCTGACTGATACTCCATAGTGTGTCACAACTGTTATTTTTGATTCATTCATCCATTGATGGGCACCTAGGGCCGGGTTGCTCTTATCTCCAGACTGTGTAACCTACCAGCAACATCCTGGGGCCCTCTTGAGTCTTCCTGTTCGCTAAATATGGTACTATTCTGCTCCACCCAGCTGGGCAGAGCTCTGCTCATTTCGAACACAATATTAGGAGCCATTTTTAGCAGAATGGAATCAGGCAGCTATCACCTTGCTGGGGATCACTTAAATGGGCAGGGGTAACTCAAACTGGAGTCTGAGACCAACCTCTTTACCCACCACAACCTCTTTAACTGTCCTTAAGTTTTTTTCTCTAAGGTCACACCGAGTGGCAGGCTGGGAGCTTATACCAGAGTTGACCTTCCGGCAGCCGCCCAGCCTCAGTGGTAAGTGCTGTCTATCCCTGCCAGGTTTTCCGTAAAGTCTTTTCCTTGTAGTAAAAGCCTCTTTTCCCATCTCCTCTTCTATCCCGCTTTTTTCCCCCGCCTGCTGATTCGCCTTATTTCCAAATAAATTATCTTCGTGAAAATGCCCTTTCCCTTACAAATACCGCTTCCTTCACCCACAGTAAGAGACATCCTACACTCGCGACCACAGTAAGGACAACTGGACTTCTCTCTCCACAGTACTCGGGGATGGCTGGATGCTGAGCAAGCCTAAGCCAACCGCAGGTCCTCCCAAGGTCTAATGCTTTCCCGAGCCTTCCTGCGGGCTCCGAGACCACTCATCACCGCCACAGCCAAGCCCCTACCCTCTTCTCTGCTTTCAGCAGTCTCGTCGCAGCTACATCAAACACACCCGAGACGCAAACAGCTTCCCTGGTGACTTTGACATGATAGGAAGGTGCCCGGGAGAATCCTCATCAGGTATGAGATGCACAGAACAGTAACGGTGACACTGGCAGCGAATGCGGGAGCTGATACGAAAAGGCCTCCCTCCGGGTGGCTCGGTGACTTAGGAGAAACTGGAGCATGGCAATCGGCACCAAGACCTGCCTTTGTGAGGACCCCAAACAAACACAAATAACCAGTTCTTACCTTCGCTGTCCCCATGGTCCTAATCTACTTCTCAAGCCTTAAGGACGATCTAGAGGTAGGTTCCAGAGACACCTTTCCCAGTCCGCGGCAGCAAGCTCTCTGGGTCCTCAGCAGCACTCAGAGGGCTTGAGGACCATCACAAGGACCACAGCCAGAAGCCCAGCCTACCTAATTTATAATCTCTGCAAAGGGTGGAGCTTTCATGCTCGCCCACCCCACCCCCGCTTCCAGCCTTTAACCTCTAACCTCCGGAATTCAGTGACCTCTGTTATCTGATCGTCACGGCTCCTTCCCCCAGCCCCCTCGCCTTCGCAAGCAATCAATTTCCCCCCTCCTCTGGCTTTTTACCACATCCTCCCAGTGGTTCTGTCTTTCTTTCTTTTCTTTTTTTAAAGCCCATCCAAATTCCTTCCCCTTTACAAGAGCCGACAACCTTTTTGTTTCACGGAAAAAAAAAACACTGAAAAGTTTGGAGGGCGGGCAAATTTGAAGGCGCTGGGGACAGAATTAGTCTAGGGAGAGGAAAGCTAATCTATCTAAGGCAGAGCTGAGTGGGTGCTGCCGTCAGCTGAAAGTCATCCACGGAGTGGGAAGCAGAGGATCCAGGACGCTCGGCGTCTGTCAGCTGCCTTTTCATTATAGGCTGGGTGTGCAATCTTGAAGGGAAAGGAGAGCCTGTCCCGAGAAAACTGACAATAATTTGTCCAGTTGTGAAGGTAGCCTGGATGTCTTGGAGCCTGACCAAATCTCCTAGGCTGCAGGAAGAGAAGATCAGTGAGGTACAGAGCCCCAATTCCTTACCACAGCGTACCTTACTTACACTACCCCACCCCTTGTGAATGCTACTACTCCCCCACCTGTTCTGAGTTTACCCTCACCTGTTCTGAGGTTTATAGCATCTAGAAACACACGAACATGCAATTCACCTTAACAGATATTTGCTGAGTACATTCTGGGTCTTTAATGAATAATAAATAGAGCCAGGCGGTGGTGGCGTATGCCTTTAATCCCAGCACTCAGGAGACAGAGGCCAGCTTGGTCTACAGAGTGAGTTCCAGGATAGACACTCGAGAGAAAAACCAGTCGAGAGAGAGAGAGAGAGAGAGAGAGAGAGAGGAAGAAGAAGAAGAAGAAGAAGAAGAAGAAGAAGAAGAAGAAGAAGAAGAAGAAGAAGAGAGAAGAAGAGAGAAGAGAAGAGAGAGGAGGTGTAGAGGTGTAGCTCAGTTGTACAGCAGCTACCTAGGCCCCAGTTTATCCCCCCCCCCCCGTCCCCCCGTCCCCCCCCCCGCCCCAGAAATCAGGCAGTCAATAGACAAGGACAACTGATTCTCACATAAGAAATGTTTGCTAAAATCCTATTAACTGGGGACTGTGCATTTCTTGAAAGACAAGCATGAGAAAAAAATATCTGATTACCACACTGTACAAGAAAAGAAAAAAACTGGGTAGGAGAAATGAGAACGTAGGGAGGTCAATGACGGCCAGCAGGAGGCAGGAGGGATTTCAGGTGAGTTGAGCCGGGGAAGCGCTGAGCTTGTGACAGACACGTGGGTGGCTGAGGCTCCTGCTCTGACTTGCTGGAGAAACAACCCTTCCCTGCAGGAGATGGTGGGGGAGGGTGGCTTGGTATATGCGTGAGGAAAGAGAAGCATCTTTACTGAATAGCCTTGGTTTGTGGCCCCAAATCCAGGCTGACAGGCTGAGCTCAAGCAAACCCCGTCATTTTCTCCTTAAACGGGGGGTCCCTCCCGAATCCGCTCTGCACCTGAGTGGAATGTGACATCCAAGAGAACCTTCCCGAGCCTGCACACCTCCTCCCTCCATTCTCCTTTCTAAGAAGCACTGAGTCGGAAGCCCCTTTAATTACCACAGCAACTGAATTTAGCAGCCAAAGGAAAAACAACGCCCAAGGCCAGTGCTGGCCGGTAGGAATAGAATCCATCCACTTGTGCAACACTGCATTTTCTTGTAGTCGTGTTAGAAATAACAAGGGTTTTCAAGACGGCTCGGCAGGTAAAGGCACTTGCTGAGAAGCCTGTCAACCTGACATGGTGCCAGGAGAGAACAGACTCCACAAAGTTATCCTCTTTTTTTGTTTGTTTGTTTGTTTTCTTTTGTGTTTTTTTGAGGCAGTGTTCATCTGTGTAGCCCTGGCTGTCCTGGAAATCAATATGTAGACCAGGCTGGCCTTGAACTCACAGAGATCTGCCTGTGTCTGCCTCCTGGATAGAGTACTGGGATTAAAGATGTGCCCCCCCCCAGGTTTATTATTTACAATTTTATTTTATTTTATTTATTTATTTATTTTTGTTTTTCAAGACAGGGTTTCTCTGTGTAGCTTTGCGCCTTTCCTGGGACTCACTTGGTAGCCCAGGCTGGCCTCGAACTCACAGAGATCCGCCTGGCTCTGCCTCCCGAGTGCTGGGATTAAAGGCGTGCGCCACCACCGCCCGGCACAATTTGATTTTATTAAAATGAACAATTCAAGGCAGGCACAGTGGCATGCCTGAAGTCTTACCTCTCAGAAGAGAAGAATCCCGAGTCTCAGGCCAGTCTGGGCTCCTTGCTGGTTTCATAGAAATGAACGAACTAACTAATAATTCAGTTCTTCAAGGCCAGTAGCCTCCCGTGATGATAAAGAACACAGGAGGTTCATGGCCGGCCTTGTAGCTTGTTGTAAGACCATGATGTCTGTCTGTCTTTCTCCCTCTCTTTTCTATTTATTGTGCATCAAAATATCTCTTTTCCACTCTTGCCAGGGGCACAAATTCTGGGCCTCCCACAGACAGGGCTCTACTCTGGAGCTGGCCCCCAGCCCTCCACATCGTGGGGCTGGAGTCTAAACTCCTTTTTTCTTGTTCTCTCTTCCTGAGAGCACAGGGATGTGGCCACAGAGCTGGAAAGCAGCCAGAGGCTGCTCCTTCTTTGCCTACACTGATTGGAGGAATAGATGAATGAATTGTGAAGGCCCAAGATTGTGCCTGTTCTCAATTGCTGTAACATTATGCAGAGAAAGAGCCTGCTGAGGATTAGTTCTCAGATGCCTGAAGCCTGTAACAGAATATTGTTTTCTTGGTTAAGAAATAAGCAATGGTGCTGGGCGTGGTGAGGCATGCTTTTAGTTCCAGCGTTCAGGGAGGACGAGGTAGGAAGATCTCTGAGTTTGTGACTAGCCTGGTCTACATAGAGACCCTTTCCAGGCTACGTAAAGAGACCCTGTCTCAAAAAAAAAGCTTCGGTTTGTGGCTGAGAATCCAGACTGATGGGTTGTACTGAAGCAAACCTGGTCCTTCTCCAGGACAGCCAAGCCTACATAGAGAAAGACTGTCTTGAAACAAATAAAAACAGACAGACAAAAAAGAAAGAAAAGAAAGAAGCAGTGTGAAAGGGAGACAGACCTGAGACCTGTTTTCTTTGTCAAAATTCAAGACTACTTTCATTTTATTTTATTTTTGTCTCTCCTTTTTTTTTTTTTTTTTTTTTTAATTGGCCTGGTACTGGTTCACAACCATCTGTAATTCTAGTCCCAGGGGATCTGATGCCTTCTGGCCTTCCAGAAACTGCACACACGTGATACACAGACATACATGTAGACAAAACACCCATAATGCATTGAAAAAAAATAAAGGTTAAACATTTTCTTTTTTAAAGGCATTGCAGAGGATGGAAATGGGCTAGTGATTTAGGAGTGACTGGCACTCCAAAGCTGAAGACTGTCTCTGAAAGGGGCAAAGTGCTGGGTGGTGCCAGAGAAGGTTCTCCCTGCCGCAATGTATGTATTTTAAAGACCACAGCTGGAATTCAGCTGAAAACTCAAGAATCTAAAATGTGCTGAACAAATTGAGACAAATGCTGTTTGAGCCAGTAGCTGCAAAGATGCTCAAAGCCTGTCCTACCGTGGCCTGAGCCAGAGTCCAAGTTAGATCTTCATCTTGAGCCACAGATAAGAGCCCTAACTGTGACCAGTTCCCTGAGGTTCTCGGTGCATTGTGGAAGTGGATGCCACCTGTTGCCTGGGGTCCTCAGTGCACTTCGGGAGTGGATGCCAAGAGACTGTAAACTCCAAGGCCCAGTGAGGGTGACCAACCCTGAGGGACGGAGCGCACAACAGTGGCCTCCGGGCTGGCATGCACTAACACCTACCTATCCTTAGATTGCTTTGTGAGATCTCTGTGAGCTCTTCTGTCTTTGCTGGATATGAAAGAGGAGGAAGTTTGAAGGGACTTTTTAAGTGTCCCCAGTTGGGAGGTGTGCTCAGTAGAAAGGGGACAATGGGAACAATGGCCGGGTATCAGTTCCAAATGCAGACACCTGCAGAGTGTAAACCTCAGTCCGGCCCCCTGCTAGCTTGTGTTGAGGTTTGTTAGTGTGAAAGCTAAGCAGTAGGACAAAGGATCCTCCAAAAGAGCACTCAGGCTTTAACCCGCCCTGCGCAGGCCTGGGGAAACACTAGCCGGACTGTTCCAAAGACTGCGCAGATCACACTTTGTGCATTCATACCATTCCTCACAAACAGCAGCGCACATGCTTTTATTTGTCTGATTTTAATCTTTCTCTACCAGGTGAGGTGTCCCCATAACTCACTTTGAATCGGAAAACACTGTTTAAAAAAAGAAGAAGAAAAGAAGAAAAAAAGAAGCCCTGGGGTGAAGAAAGGAAAAATCTGAGAAATGCCGCTTGCCCTGTTTACACTGTCTTTAAACCATTCATTACTGCCACTGGTCCTGAAGACCGAATTCCAGCCCGCTGGTTCTCATCACTGCTGCGGATCTTTCCTGTCCCAAAGTCTTCAGGAACAAATTCCAAAGTAGGGCTAACTCTAAGTTAAAAATCAAATCACAGCCATCTACTCAACCATCTTCAGCGATTACTCAGGAAGGCGTAGGTTCAAAGCGCCTTTGACTAGAGATCCGTGGGTCACAGTGTAAAACATTCCCGCAGCCTTACACACACACACTCAAACACACAGGTTAACTGTATTATAGACTATTTACCCCGTCTGATTTGTCCCAAACTCTCTGTTTCACTTCTCTCTTTTGCTCTTTGCAGTGCTGGGGATTAAACCCGGGGCCTCATGTATCCCAGGCAGAGCTAGCTAAACCAGTCTCAGCCCTCAAAATTCTCATATTAATATGTAACCCATGGAAAAATTATTACTAATCTATTTTTCTATTGTTGTGTCAGGCCTTCAGAATCCAGTGAGTTATTTTACACTTATAGTGCACCTCAGTTGGAACACTCAAGTTTCTGATACCAAAATGAAACATCCTTTTTCTTTTCTTTTCTTTTTTTCCCCAATGCTGGGTACTGAATATAGGGCCTTGCATATGCATGCTAGTCAAGTGCTCTACCACTGAGCTGTATTCCCAGCCTGAAATGCCCTTTTAAAATGATAACTATAGGGGCTGGAGAGATGGCTCAGCGGTTAAGAACACTGGCTTCTCTTCCAGAGGACCCAGGTTCAATTCCCAGCAACCACAACTCACAGCAGCTCACAACTGTCTGTAACTCTAGTTCCAGGGCATTTGACACCCCCCCCCCCCCCCACACACACACACACACATGCAGGCAAAACACCAATGCACATAAAATAAAAAGAAAGAAAAAGGAAAGAAAATGACAACAGCAGGGGCTGGAGAGACGGCTCAGCTCAGAGGTTAAGAACACTGGGTGAGTTCACTTGTCTTGAACCCAGTGACCTAAGTTTCATCACCTGGACCCACATGATGGACAATAGCTTCTGAAAGTTGTCTTCTCTCTCTCTCTCTCTCTCTCACACACACACACACACACACACACACACACACACACACACACACTATGGTATGAGTGTGCCACCCCACAGACAAATAAATCTGAATGTAATGATAATAGTAACAACTGTGTTACAAAAATGTTTTACATTACTGTACACACACACACACACACACACACACACACACACACACACACCCTGCCCAACACAATCTCACAGGGCTGGTCTGGAATTCACAACTACTTGTCCCTAGTACACCACTCTGCCCAGCTACTTCTACTCTACACACTGCTTTAGTTTCTTCCACCATATTGCCTGTTTTTACATATGAATTTGAATAAAAATTGAATGAACTTGCTGGGTGGCAGTGGCCCAATACCTTTAATCCCAGCACTTGGGAGGCAGAGACAGGTGGATCTCTGTGAGTCCAGCCTGGTCTACGGAGTGAGTTCTAGGACAGGCTTCCAAAGAAACCCTGCCTCGAAAAACCATAAACAAACAAACAAATGAACTTAAGAAGTCACTCAGTTGCACTTGCCCTAGTTCAAGCATTCGGTGATCATGTCAGACGCGGGTACACTGTACAGGTCAGCTCTTGACTCACTGGCATGCTTCTAACACTATCCCTGGAATTTAGAATGTACACTCAAGGAAAAACATGCTTTCGGCTCAACTTCCTGAGTAACAGGGACTGCAAGTGTGTGCTGCCATAAGGGGCGGGAGTGACCCCATGTTTTGGCTGAAACATCACCTCCACTAGGAAGCCTGTTTCTCCATCTATTCCCGGGTCCTTACTTTTTCTTCCTTGTCACCCTAATTCACACTTTCAAAGCAAGAGACTTGGGACCTTTTATCTATCCTCAGGTCCTTTACACAGCACTAGATATATATGAATGAACAGCAAACAGAATGAATGAGCAAACAAGTTTATATAGTAGCAACTCAAGACTACCCAAGCATCATTTGGCTTGGCAAAGTGATGCAGCCATGCTTCTGGGTCATAGAACTAGGGCAAAGCTGGCTGAGAAGAATAAGTGTGTCAACCCACACCAAAGTACGCTGGCTTTCTTTAAGTCTACATGTCTACAGCTCTAGCAACCAAGAGCTAACGGTGCTGATGGAAGACTCTAGCGACAAATTTATCACATTCACAATTAGCATGTTAAAATCATCCTGTGTGGCACAACGTAGTATGTAGAGCACCAAGATGAATCAAGATTGCCCTGAAACTCTGCACAGTTGACTACAGTGTGCCATGGGTGGATAAGTGCATTCTCCAAGGGTTCCTGTGCTAGAAGCCGGGTCCAGTGTAGTGATGTTAGAAAAGCAAGACCTTTAAGAAGCAAAGCCTGGGCCAGCACTTTATTGGTGTGTGTGTGTGTGTGTGTGTGTGTGTGTGTGTGTGTGTGTGTGTGTGTGTGTGTGTATGTGTGTGTGTGTGTGTGTCACAGCACACACATCTTTTGGGGGTCAGAGGACAACTTTTGGGGGTCTTTTCTCTCCTTCCACCACGAGACCCCAGGAATTGAACTCAGCTGTCAGGCTTGGCAGCAGGTGTCTTTATTCTCTGAGCCATTTCACAAGCCCCTGAACCCCTTTTCTAAGTCAGGCACATCTATATATATATATGCTTTCAGTCCTAGCCCTTGGGAGAATGAGGCAGGAGGACCAAGAATCCCAGGTTAGGTTGGGCTATATAGCTCAAGTATATTATTATAGCAACAGAAAATGGACTGATACTGTTAAATAGTGTTGTCATCATCTCTGTGTCACATTTTAAAATTTAAACCACAGTCCAGGCCTGCAGGATGACTCAGTGGACAAAAGTCCTTAATGTGGAAACCTGATGACCTGAGTTCCATCCCTGGAATCCTAAAAGCACCAAATCCGGAGAGGGCTCTGCAGTAAGAATACTGTTGCTCTTGCACAAGACTGCAGTTCCATCCCCAGCACACATAGCAGGTGGCTCACCCATGCCTGCAACTACAGCTCCAGGGTGTTCAGTACCTTCTGGCTTCTGCAGACACCTATGCACACACAAGCACAGATACACACATGAATAAAAATCAGTGTGGAAATAAAAAGCCAAATGCAGTGGTTCACATCGGCAACCCTGGCACTCCTAAGGGGGGATGGGAGGCAGAGAAAGGGAGAACTGCCTGGAAGCTCAAGAGACAGTGAACCCCGAGTGTGCAAAGCAGCAAGAACAAAGGCGACCTTTGACCTCCACATGCACACAAAGCTCAAACATACAGTAATAATAAATTAAAACAGGACAAGACCAAGTATCAGCCAAGTGTGGTGGCTCACTGGATCACCAAGTGCTTGGCTACAGAGGACAAAACCAAGAAGACAGTAACGGTAGAATGAAGGGAAAACGGAAGACTCTGTACCACCCTCACCCGTCACCATCATGCCCAAAGATCCCCGTCGGTTGGCCGACCACAGGGGTTGGACGTACAGAAGCAAAGGCAGTTTTAGGGCATTTTGTAGTAAATTCTTCAAACATCTTGATTTTTTTAAATAATAAATTATTTTATTATTGTCTGTTTTTGAGATAGGGCCTCACTGTGCAGCCCTGGTTGGCCTGGAACTCACAATGTAGACCAGATTGGCCTCGAACCAGGTTGTGTCTATAATTGGCTTTCCACCTTCGTCAGTACTTAAGTCATCCATTGGGCTGGATGCCTCAAAAGGATCTCACAGACCTCATCAATGTGAGCATTTGACTCAGGACTGACAAATTCTAATATGCCGAAGAGATGGGCAATGTTTCTTGCTTTTTGTTATGAATATTCCCATGTATTAATGACTGGTTGAATAGTTATTAAAGTAGTAGAATTGATGTGTGTGTGTGTGTGTGTGTGTGTGTGTGTGTGTGTGTGTGTGTATAGAGAGAGAGAGGCAAGTTTACAATAAAAATGGCGTAATTTGAAAACAGTGTTAAAGTTTGTAAGTATCTGGCATATGGAGATTTTTGGTGGCCGGTGAATTAATAGCAGAGCGTACAGATGTCAACAATCTCCCGACCACCCCCTCTCTCAGGTGCAGGTTGGCCTCAGACTCGCTATGGACTGGCTTCCACTTCCTAGTTCGGGGATTAGAGGTGTGCACCACCACATCCATTGCTGTGTTCTCCTTTTTTTGTAGTAAGTTGTAAGACTTTCAATCTGCCATCTAGAGATCCTTTTGGTTTTTTGTTTTTGCTTTTGTTTTTCGAAACAGGGTCTCCCTAAGTAGCTCTGGCTGTCCTGGAACTCACTATGTAGACCAGGCTGGACTTGAACTCAAAGAGATCCATCTGCCTCTACCTCTCTAGTGCTAGAATTAAAGGCATGTGCCACCATGACCAGCTTGGTCCTTTTGCTTTATAGTAGTAATACCTGTCACTCATAGGCATTAAAACACTGCGGGAGAGACTGGAGAGAAGGTCAGTGATTAAGGGCACTTACTTGCTGCTCTTTTAGAGGACTAGAGTTCAGTTTACAGCACCCACATCAGGTGGCTCCCAACTTCCTGTAACTCTAGCTCCAGGGATCTGACATACTCTTCTGGCCTCCACAGGCACTCAAATACATATACATACACACATAAATAAAAATAAAATAAAATAAAAACATTGGAGCTGGAAAGATGGTTCTAGAGTACTGGCTGCTTCTAGAGGACCTGGTTTTCACTCCCAGTACCCACACGGCTGCTCACAACTGCGTATAAAGCCTGTAACTCAAGTCCTAGGGGATCTGATGCCCTCTCTGGCCTCTGTGGACACCAAGCATGCACATGATCCACAGATAGGCACACATGCAGGCAAAACACTTGTACACATAAAATAAATTAAAATAAAAAAGGAACTGTGTAATCCTCAGGAGGCTGAGGCAGGAGGATCACCTTGAGCTTGAGGCCAGCCTGAGCTACACGTGAGATGAGAATAGAAGAAATAAGTCGTTAAATAATGAGAAAATTTCCTTTTACATTTTATTTAAACGAGTTATTGTGCTTTTAAATATTAGTATCGGGGGCTGGAGAGGTGGCTCAACAGTTAAGGGAACTGGGTGCTCTTCCAGAGGACCCAGGTTCAACTCCTAGCACCCACATTGCAGCTCACAACTGTGTAACTCCACATCCTCACACAGACAAACAGCAAAACTCCAATGCACATAAAAAACGGAAAACAAAACAGCAACAGAAGACCAGAGTTCAATTTCCAGTACCCACATGGTGGCTCTCAACCTCCAGTACCCCCAATTCTAGGTGATTTAACAGGCGCACATGTGGTGCATGTGCACATGCATGCCTGCCATGCATTCAGGCAAGATATTCACACACATGTAAAACTAAATGAAAATCTAAAACAATATTTCGTACCGTTAGTCTCTAACATTAGGATACGTGGGAGCTTTGATTCATATTCTGGGTAGTGAGTTATGAATTTGGGGACACAGTATAGTTGATAACTCCGTCTCACTCTTTTGTGCTCCTTCATCCTGAACAGCCTTCCCGGCTGGCTGAGTCCCAGTTCTATATCTGGTCATCAGTTTGTGCCCCTAGGGCGTCTGTTCTCAATCTGTGGGTCATGACTCCCATAGGATCACATAGTGGACATTTACATTATGATTCATAACAGCAAAATTACAGTTATGAAGTAGTAATGAAATAATCTCATGGTTTGGGGTCACCACAACGTGAGGGACTGTATTAGAGGGTCGCAGTGTTAGGAAGGTTGAGGACCACTGCCCCAGGGCCGCCTTCCAGACACACCTAAGATCCGGTTTTCTTTGTGCCACTATTCATGTCAAATGTCCCTATGATGCAGTGCTTATTAAAACCCACGGCAATTATTTACTCCCGCAACTGCGAGCAAGTACTCTTTGGGAAGGGATTTTACTCTGTATCCACGGAGATTAGCAACAGGTGGCCAAAAATGTTAAAACAGATGAATAAAATGTGTCCTGTAATGCATATCCTTTGGAACATTTAATTTCTTTCTTTTCTTAAAATTAATTTATTTTCACTTTATGAACATTTGGTGTTTTGCCTGATGTGTGTCTGGGTGAGGGTGTCAGATCCCCTGGAACTGGAGTTACAGACAGTTGTGAGCTGCTGTGTGGGTGCTGGGAATTGAACCTGGGTCCTTTGGAAGAGCAGTATGTGCTCATAACTGTTGAGCCATCTCTCCAGCCCCAGAATATTGAATTTCTAAATAAGCTATAATCTAACTATATAATATGATCAAAGGAAGGATAAAATATTGAAGTCTCAAAATGTCCCTTCCCAGGGCTAAGGGTATACCCAAGCTACAGTTTTTGTTTAAAAAGGATTCACTTTGGTAAGTCAATCCTTTTAGGGATATAGGATAT